GCTGGCTTCTTGATCAGAGTAATTCCCAGGTAGACCTACCCATTGGTAGAGTAACCTTTCCCAGTGTTGCTAGCATGTAGCCAGAAGTGACAAGCCTTGATATAAGATTCCTTTTGCAGGCCAGGAATGGGGCTGCAGGACAGTATGGACTGCAGTGCCCAAGTGCAGCCCACAACCAGCTCGGGGTCAGCAGGAAAGCACTGTGACACTTCTTTCTGCCTGTTTCATGTTGCCTGAGGGCATGTGGCTGTGTCTGGCTTACTCTCTTTTCCTTAACCAGTGTGTCTTTGAATGTGATAATTTTGTGTTCTAGAAGGATCATAATCTACAGATTTTTTATACAGATTACAGGAAGAACATAGGCAAGATGCTGGGACCATTCCTCATTCACAGACTCATTGTATCACTCCATGTGTGTTTCAAGTATGTTTCTTGCTAATGGTGAATAGATGGAAAATCTGGTTGCTTTTAAAACTATTATCTTAGGAGCTGTGCATTGCATGTAGATAAAGGATCTTTAAAATATATAGGATCACTTTTATAATGTGGTTTGATCTACATTATAATGCACTCAGCACCTAGCACATCCTAGATGACTTTTGAAACAAACAGGTTAGGAACTATAGATAGTCAGTGCCTAACACACTGGTATACAGAGGTAATGTAATGAACTGTGTACCAGTCACATAGTACAGCATCCCATTTTGCACTGGTGTGGATCCTAATTACAAAAACCTGAGCGTTCACCCTCTAAGTACATGTAGTGATGCTAGGTCGGGCCTTGGCTCTGCTCTGAGCTCTTGCCCTCGTAAGTGGATGGAGTGATGCTAGGTGGGGTCCTGGCTGTGCTCTGAGCTTTTGACCTCTTAAGTACGTGTAGTGATGCTGGGTGGGACCATGACTCTGCTCTGAACTCTCACCCCATCCTGATTGTCTCTACGGTTATTGGTGCTAGCAGCTGGTGTATGAACTTTGCTCATCATGTGGGCACTGGCTTTTCAGTGTCCAGCACATGTCCTTGTCACTGCTTAAGATGAAGGCTCTCTTAGAAGTGTGAACAGAAGCTGCCTTGCTCATCCCTGGCCCATAGCTGGTGCAGATAGACAGGTTTCTGTGAGACTGTGACAGGAGTGCCTGCGACACTTGAGAACACATGGGATTGCTGTCGATGAGGTAGAGATAGAGATAGATAGATAGACAGACAGACAGACAGACAGATAGATAGATAGATAGATAGAGCACCTAGGCCTGGCATGGGGTGCTGTGGGATGGTCTGTATGTCAAATGTGTTGCTGATTGGTCAATAAATAAATCACTGATTGGTCAGTGGCCAGGCAGGAAGTATAGGCGGGACAAGGAGGAGAAAAAACTGACAAGTGGAAGGCTGAGAGAGGAGAGACACTGCCAGCCGCCATGATGACAAACAGCATGTAAAGATGCCGGTAAGCCACAAGCCATGTGGCAAGGTATAGATTAATGGAAATGGATTAATTTAAGCTGTAAGAACAGTTAGCAAGAAGCCTGCCACGGCCATACAGTTTGTAACCAATATAAGTCGCTGTGTTTACTTGATCGGGTTTGAGCGGCTTGGGACTGGCAGGTGAGAGAGATTTGCCAGGCAGGAAAACTCTAGCTACAATGGGGTTTTGAAACCTCAAAGGCCACCCTCAGTGACACACTTCCTACAAGGCCACATCTCCTAGTCCTTCTAATCCTTTCAAAGAGTTCTACTACCTGTTGACTAAGCATTTAAATACATGAGCCAATGGGGTGGTGGTGGTGGTGATGATCATTCTTATACAAACCACTACAGACACCCATCCCCAAGGGGCCACTAGGACAACTTTATGACATGTATACACAGTGTCTACCAGTCACTGATTTAGGCTGTGGGGCCTCTGAATAGGAGATGCCCCACCCTCCAGAGAACTACCTTTATATATGTTTAGGAAAATGCCTAGGTGCTTTCGAGATGAAAACAGGTATTCCCTGGAAACAGACTAGAACAGCATTGAACATAGTGTGTCTACTCCCTGGTTTCTTGCAGCGAGCCACGAGAATATATTACAGAGATTCAGCTGTATAGAATAAGCTATACCTTGACCAACCAAGGAGTCCTTCAAGAGGAAGCCATTTATCAAGGAATATTTGGTGTCATTTAGCTTATTAATATATATCAGCTGTCTTCTGCTATGACATTCTTGTGCATCCATATACTACTAGGCCATAAGGCAAACAGTGTAAGCTTCTCAGACCTACTGCCCATCCACTAGGTAACACCCCTGCAGGGCCTAGAAGGCAGGCAGGCTGTAGATGCATAGTCTTATTTCTTGTGCAAATGAAGCACAGACCTCCCTTCCCCAGACAGGGAAAATGGCATTTCAGAGCAATTGACTCAAAACAAAGGAGCTTTTTGCATATCCAGGTGGAGTGAAGGGTGGGGCAAGATTCCTGGGCAGAGCAGAGTTGTGTGGCCGGGAGAGAAAGAACAAGGCAATTTCTGTAGGTGATGGGCAGAGAGCCACATGACCAGAGAGAAGAAAAGAAGGCAGAGTTTCTCAGAGCAGAGGTAAGGAGCAAGGAAGGAAAGATAGAGGATGAAGGAACAGAGGACGAAGATGAGGTCGAAAGCATAGAAGCTTAGTTAGGACTATGACAGGGCAGTAGGGTCAGAGAGGAGCTGTATGTGAGGATGGAGCTGAAGCTGTATAGATAGAATTTTGTCTTAGAGAAATAAAGTAAACGGATGAAAGAGCATGGTGTACATAGATTCTTTTCCCTCTGATAAACCCCACCAGACGTATCCTCTTCCCCAGGACCCTGGGAGGGATCTTCTCAGGCAGGCCCCTGGGAAAATTCCGTTAGTTTTTGTGCCTGGTAGGAAGCTGAGTCTGGTGGTGTGTGTAAACTTTGCAGCTAGGATGGAAAGGGATCCTGGCAGTTGGGAGCCAAGGAATACCACAAAGTCACCATAAACTTAGCAGCTTACATTCCCGGTCCAGGGAAAGGTTTCCCAGTGCAAGTCTAACAGCTCTGCTCTGGCTGGGGAGGGTTTCCCCAGCGAAGTTGTTACAGCTCCTCTTAGGTCCCACAGAGTGTAGTAACTCTGCTTCGCTAGGAGAAAGTTTCCCCAGCGAAAGTGTTACAGTTCTGCTGGCTCTGTTCTGCTCTGCTCTGGAGAAAATGTCACACTGCACAACAAACCTCACTTGAGATTTGTTGGGAAGGAAGAATCCAGGATGGCGGCTGCCTCCAGTGGGAAACAGCAGCAAACTGAACAGGGTGCAGAGCTTATATGGGGTTTGGGGGTGGGAGGAGCGTTCCAGGGTGGCTTGGGATTGGTAGATTTTGGTAGTCTGATTCTGGGGCAGGCTCGGATTAGTGCAATTTCAAGTGCTGGGGTCAAGTCAGGGTCAGGGTGTTTTTCCTTGGCCCCTTTCACCCTGCAGAATGTGTCCTGCATCTTCTGGGTTGTGTCCTAGAGCTTTCTGAAGTGCAGACCCTGACAGCTGGAGGCACACAGTAGCTCATGACACAATCTATACAATGTGTGTATGAAGGCAGGCATTTTTTTAAATGCCCTTTTAAAAAACCATCTTTGCTGTGAGTTCGAGGCCAGCCTGGTCTCCAAAGCGAGTTCCAGGAAAGGCGCAAAGCTACACAGAGAAACCCTGTCTCGAAAAACCAAAAAAAAAACAACCAAAACCGTCTTTGACTTTTCTATGAAGTTGACATTCTTAAAACAGAAGAACAACCTTGGTGATGCCGGCGGGTTTGAGCGTTGGGAATCATGCATGCATACACACACACACAGATACAGGCACATGCACAGACATACATGCATGCATATACATACACACAGATACAGACACACTCATATATACAAACTGCTCACAGAAACAGTGGCTTCGTGGATGATGGAATGAAGAGACAGGAGTGTGAGAGCCAGATGTCAGTCCTTCAGAGGGTTGTCTGGCTAGCTGTTCTGACTGACTTGCACCTCAGGAGGTGGGGAGGAAGTAAGCTTCTGCCCAGGTAGACCTTGCCTAGTTACCCCCTCCCCCGATATGAGAAAAGTAGAGAGCACAGGTCGGGGCAGCTGGGCTCCCAAGATTGCGCACAGTGGCCCGGCTTGTATGTTTTGTATGCTTTTGAGTGAGGACTGTAGACATGGTGGAAGACTAATTGGGGTGGAACGCCTGTAAAATGCAGTAGATAGTTGGGATAATGAGAAGCACCAGAAGGGCTGATCAAGCTGTAGGTGTGCTGGCTACTTCTCTTGTTTCTTTGGACAGGTGCTGTTGATAATAATCAAGGCTCGTCCTGGAGGCGATTATTTCTTCATACCTCTGCATGTGGCCTGGGGTGTGAGAGACACTGGGCTCATTAGTGGGCAGCCACATGGTCTTTTGTCAGTGGGAAGGTTAGGGCACCTGCAAGTCCCCTTGTTCCTGTGCTGGGAAGCGTTAATGGGCACCAGCTGGGTCTTCCTGGCTTCTCCATAAATAGCCGAGGTGCCTGGTGCAGGGTAGCCTTGGAGCGTACACTTCAGCAGCTGTTCCCTGGGCAGTGTGGCCTTTGGCTCTGTCCCATCAGAGTACACACACACCAGCCAGGAGCTGGTTTTTCCACCTGCTCCACTCTGTGGTTTGGGTGGTAGACACCTTAGTAGTCAGCTCCAAGGTTAAACTGGAGGGAATTGAGAGGCAGTTCTGGGAATAGTTAGATGTGCACAGTGTTGGAGGGAAGAGGGAAGAGGAGATGCCATCTGATGGGAGCCTGTGATAGGAGGCCAGAGAGGCCAGATGTCATTGCTTGTCAGTCTCCAGGATCGTGTGTGGGATCCCCAGTGTGAGAGAGGGATGACCCACCAGAAGGGCTCCTTCACAGGACAGGTCCTTCTTGACTAGCGCAGGAGGATGGGGAGATTGGGGAGGGGTGGGGGAGTAGGGTGTTGTTGGTCTGTGGACTTGGTGTTTACTAGGTTTGACATTTCACAGACTGGATCCTTTCTGCCATTTGTCCCTGGAAGTGCTGCTCCCCAGGCCTGTTACACTGAACACGACACTCCGCCTCCTTCTAGCAGCAGCTGGATCCCAACTGGACCTTCTCATCACCACTTGCGTCCTCAATAAGTGGTCTTCTGTTTTTTTTCCCTTTTTCTTTTTGGGTCATCTATAGAGATTTGAAATAAACACAGTATATTTGAAAAGAATATGGGAAATTTAAATGATTTATTTTGGAATCAAATTTCAGCATAGAATTTCAATTTGGGTCATTGAGATGGGCAAGGATGATTTTTTTTTGTTGTTGTTGTTGTTGTTTTTTCGAGACAGGGTTTCTCTGTGTAGCTTTGCGCCTTTCCTGGGACTCACTTGGTAGCCCAGGCTGGCCTCGAACTCGCAGAGATCCGCCTGGCTCTGCCTCCCGAGTGCTGGGATTAAAGGCGTGCGCCACCACCGCCCGGCACAAGGATGATTTTTATTCACGTTGTGTGACAGTTTAGTGAATGAATGGTATTTTGGAATGGCCACAGGAGGGGCATTTGCAGGGCTTTGCTGTGGTCTAGGCTTTGTCCCACACTGCTGGCATGCCCAGCGCTGAGCCTTTCCTGTGTGGCTCTCTCTGGGGTATGTGCTCCTGTGAGTGCATACGTGCGCACAAGCCAGTTCACCTCAGAGCTGCCTGTGGCCCTTCCGTGTCGCGTACGTGTGCTCTGACTGCTAACTGTGGGGTGTGTGTGTGTGTGTGTGTGTGTGTGTGTGTGTGTGTGTGTGACCATCCCCAAACCAGGGACACCTTCGTGTAAAAAGAGAAATGCAGTTTTCTTACCTTTCCAGTTACCAAGTGGACTTCCAGCATGAGTGTGGAGCCAAACCATGATTTCACACAGGCCAGAATAGATATAACTACGTTGTGATCATGGGTGCAAAGACAGGTCACTGTCCCCAGTGAGCACTGTTACACTTTGGTGACAGTTTGCTTATGAGACTGTCTTCCAAGCTCACTCACCTGTTAAAGGTATGGTCCCCAGCTGGCTGAGGAGGAAGGATCATGAGTTCACTAACATCTTAGGGGTTCATAGCTAAGTGGACTATCGGGGGCCAGGTCTGTTTGGAGGAAGCAAGGCTTTGGAGGTGTGTCTTTGAAGGAACTGTCTTTTCTCGGGTCCTTGCTTTTCTTTCCGTGCCTCTCACTTGCCTTGAGTGGGAAACTGAACTACTGTGCACTTTCTACACTGTATTCAGCCTTGTCTCAGGCCCACAGAGACAGGCCTATGACCTTGGCTTGAAACCAAGGAAAGTCAAATCTTCTTCCTTTAGGTTGGTTTAATCAGGCAAAGGTGAAAAGAGGTGAAAAGCTAATCCAGTGCTCAGCCCCCAGCAGGAGACTGACTAGGAGTAGTGTTCAGTGGGAAAATAACCATGGGAGATGACCAGGATCCAGAAGTTGCCCTGTAGTGGTGCAGGCCATGTATGTGCAGAACCCAGCCCTGGGTGGACAGATGAATGGGATGGGAGGAGCCATCTGCCCTGGAGTGTCCTCAAATGTGGGCCTCTTGTCCCTTTTGCTGTGTCCCAGTGGTTGTTGGTACATTGCAGCTGTGTTTGTGGAAGCCTTTCATCAAACTGAAGAAGAGCACCCATAAGGCTTGCTTGTTACAGCTGGAATGGGAGCAAGGCTTGAATAGGTCAGAGAGGAGCTAGACCTTCTGCTAAGGAACTCCTTCCCTCTGTGGACATGCAAAAGGGAGTAGCCACTAGCATCCTCATTTTCCTTGAGGGAGACTGGTTACTCAGGTGCTGAAGCATCCATCCAGGTGAGCTCTGAGATATGGGAATGCCACATCCTCCCAGGCCTGGGGTCAGAAGAATCCTTTGCGAGCTGTCAGTTAATACAGTTCTTCCAACCTGAAGCATCCTCCCTGAGACAGCAGGAGGAGGAGAGAGTACCACGGTGGAGGATAACCTGGTCCTAGTCCTTCCCAGGGAGCCAGTGTCCATGGATAACTTCTTTGCAGTTTTCCTGACCCACTTGAGGATGTGGATAACAATATAAAATGCATGAAGAGAAAGGATGACATGAACAGACTTTGCCATGTGAGGTGCTAAACAGGCTTAATGGGATTTTGCTGTATAAGACTGGCCATATGGGAAGAATGTCTCCTTTTCCCAGCAACTTGAAAAACCACAAAGTAATCAGCTACATCACTTCCCCTTTCTATTTTATTTTAAAAATTTTGCATTTATTTATTTTGTGCATGTGTATATATGAGTGTGTGTGTGTGTGTTTGTATAGGTCAGAGGACAACTTGTGGGAATCTACACTCTGTTTCCACCATGTGGGTCCTAGAGACTGAACTCTGGTCATCATATTTGGTGGCAAGCACCTTTACCCAACTTTATTTTTTTAATTTTTTTTTGTTCTTTTGTTTGTTTTTGTTTTTTGAGACAAGAGTTTATCTGTATAACCCTGGCTGTCCTAGAACTCACTTTGTAGACTAGGCTAGCCTCAAACTCAGAGATTTGTAGCATGAATCTTAAAAAGTCTTATCAATAAAAACAAACCTGAAGCCAGGCATTGGGGTGAATCCTGGAAGATCAGAGAAGCAGAACAAGCCACAGCTTCCTCACCTCACCAATTCCTCAGCTGATTCTGTTTCATCAGACTGGAAGCTTCTGAGCTCTCATCCAGAATGAATCTCAGCTGAACTGCTACTCAAAACCTTAAAGCTTAACCAGCCAAATGCTTCTAGTTTCTGGTCCTCACGCCTTATATACCTTTCTGCTTTCTCCCATCACTTTCTGGAATTAAAGACGTGAGTCACCATGCCTGGCTGTTTCCAATGTGGCCTTGAACTCACAGAGGTCCAGAGGGATTTCTGCCTCTGGAATGCTAGGATTAAAGGCATGTGCTACCACTGCCTATCCTCTATGTTTAATATTGTGGCTGTTCTCTTCTCTGACCCTGATAAGTTTATTAGCGTACACAATATTTTGGGGAACACAATACCACCACAGAGATTTATCAGCCTCTGCCTTCTGAGTGCTGGGATTAAAGGCATGTGCCACCACTGCCTGGCTATTTTTCTATTTTAAAGAGGTTACAAAAAAAAAAAAAAAAAAAAAGGTGACCCATGGACTATATGGAAAGTCATGCTGCTTTTCTCTCTCTTTACCGAAGGATGCTTGTGAAAGTTGAGCTGAGAGCTACAGGCTGCAACAGGACACAATAAACATGAGGCTCCCTTTCTAGGTGTAGGTAGGTGATGATATGAGCTGTAGCCCTGGGCCTCGGTTATGTCACCTCAGTGTCTCTTGTGACACAGAGCCATGCTCCCCATCTCCATGCAAGGCTGTCCTGCTGGTTACCTTCCACTCAGTTCCCTGCTGTGTGTCACCATTATCACACTGACCTATTGTGTGTTAGCTGCTAGACCTTCCCATGACCTGTTCCTTTTGGTATCTGCCTGTCTCAAGAATGGGGCAAAGATGCTCATTTTTCCTTTCACTTAATCTTTTCCAAAGTCCCTAGAGATTAACCTGTCTACATTTTGCAGGCGAGGCACCAAGGCCTAGGAACTTTCCAAAATAGCTTGCCTGTGGTCATACAGCTGATGAATGGAAGCCCAAAATATAATTTGCTACCTTTGATGGCCAAGTGGTCCCTCTCGGTGGCTGCTTTGTGCACCCTCTTTGTATACGATGGAACAACTTCCCTCAGTATTTACTGAGAAAACTAAGATGTTTTTATGTGTAAATTGTGTCAAGTGGATATTTTTATAAGAGGGTGTTTTGGTATTTCAGCCTGAGGAAAAATAGTAGAAAAGAAACCTAAACATGACAGTCTGCAAATCGTTAGATTTTCAAAGAATGAAGGTGTGATTTTTCTTTTTTTTCCGCAAGGGTGTTAATTAATTTCTGACATGGCCAAGTGCCAGAATAGAGCTCTGATGTCAGTTTGAAACCTCATCTCTTAGGCCTGCTGCTTTGGCTCATGCTGTGGATCGCTGTTTCTCTGTAACGAGGAGAACACTGTCCAAAGAGCAAATAGTTTGGCAGTTTGTGGATACCACTGCCCTGTTTTAGGACATTGAGGTATGCTATAGAGAGCAGGCAGATGAATGTATGAACCATGTGTCGGTCTCTGCTGCTTCAGGTTCCAGATTGCTTCATTTGATTGGGGTTGAGGCTAGATCACTCCTGTCCTGGGCATGGCATCTCCATCAGGCCAGGCCAGGCCAGGTATCAGGGTGCCAGTGCAAGTGAAGCAATCATACTCTGTCTGTTCGATGCTCTGGAGACATTTGCATCTTGCACATACTCAGTTTCTAGGACAAACTTTTTCAATAGCCAGCCAGGGCTTCTTGAATCAGGCTCACCTGAGGGAGAGAGCCACCAGCCACCCTCCCTCCAGCTCCCTTAAAGAAGTGGCCATGGGGCAAGGCTCTGGGAGAGTAGGCCAATCTGTACATGGAAAGTTAGGGGTGGGAGCAGCAGAGCATCCTAGATAGAGGAGGCCCTGGGGGAGGAGGAGAAAGAGAGTATTTTTCATAGGCCAGGCCTAGAGCTTACCAAGTAGAGTAAGGCCAGCAAGCCTCAGTGTTTATTCTTCTTTCTCTGCCTCCCCAATTCTGGGAGGCTTTTTACCTGGATCTGAACCTCAGACTCAGGTCTTGGGTTGCAACATAAGCACTTTACTGAGATGTTTCAGTCACCTCAGAGAGAACACTCTTGGCTGCCAGCCTGCGCTGCTCCTTGGTTGAATTTTTCTGTTTTTTGACCTATCCCCTTCCAGGTATTCTGCAGGTCTGGGGAAATAGGGGCTGTGGATTAAAGAGGACAGGGCCCTGGGTATTCTCAGAGCCTGTGTGGGTGGAGACGTGTTCCTGTGTTTCATGCCTGGAAGCAGAAGCCTGGAGGAGGCAGGGCAGCCCCTGTTGGGGAGGGGCGGCTGTAGGTGGCTCCAGCATCAGCTCACTTGTTGCCGTTGCTTGACTCCTCCAGACCCTCTGGGGGTTATCACTGGATCAGGACCTGGAGTCAAGCTTCAGAGATGTGCTGAGGCCAGCTTTAGCTGCAGGTGCGTTCCTGAAAGTATGAGGAATGACCAGGGACAGCAGTTTCAGGAGAGGCTGGGAGGGTGGTGGGGTGGGCCAGAGCAGTTATACTTGTTTTTGCTTGCTCTACTCAGCTCGTCAGCCAAACAGTGA